CGGCACCGGCGGCAGTGTCGCATGGGAAACAGCCGAGGAGGTGCACGGAAAGCACATTTCAAGTGCCTAAAAGGTGACCCGGGAGATAGATAATTTCAGTTGCACAGTAGCGGCTCTGAGGCGGTGTGTGCATAAGGAGAATACAGTGCTCCCACAATGACGACAACGAAGAGCACCGTTATTTTAAGATTTAAAAAAAATCTAGAAGCTATTCCTGATAACCATATTGTATACAGTAGCACTGGTTATACATACATTTGAACACGTGTTGCTTTTTTCTTGTAAAACATGACTTACCCAAAAGTCGAGTGTTAGAAAGTCAAGGTGCTCAATCTGAAAGGATTAGTAGTGCATGTTTTTTTCCACAGGAACAAGAAAATTGTTGATTATTCTCAGTTTGGGGATTTGGAAGATGATGGTGAGTGGTGTGTTCTTGTATGTAACAGAAATGCCAAACACTAATGTCAGCACCCAAAACATCATCAGAGTGTCTTTAATAAATCAGTTCATTGAGAAGGCTGTTAACCATTTTCACTGGAAGTGATCTGGGCACGCTGTTAATGATCCTAATTCAACAAGAATATGATGGCTGCAAGCCAGAGTGTAGCAACAGTACGTCAGGAAACTGCTGAGTACATTGTGTCTTGTTGCAGGAAAATCTTTTTCTCCCCCTGCCTCAGTTTTTGGTGGTAATTGGTTGCGCCATGGCCTCCTGATTATCAGTTCACAGGATTGTAAATCAGAATATAAAGGAGGTGTGAATCATCTGTACATAGATCGAACGTTTCTCCTACAGCTCTGTATCTGATGGGTTTTGGGTAAGGACGTAGCAGTCAAATTTTGATTTCCATTGATAAGAAAAAATAGATTGCAGGCTATTTGTTTTCACGACAGTCCTCCTTTACTTCTAAGCCCTTGTGGGCATTATGAATTTTCTTACAGAATTTGTTTGCTTTCATGTTTGTTTTTTTTTTCCATGCCGTTTGCAGGATACAGGGAACAGTTTGAATTGGTGGTAAGGGGAGGGCAAAAGTAAATAATGTTGAAGGTCTCATGTGAATCATATGGATTAATGCAGATCCTTAGTTTAAATGTGGTGCATGACTTTTCTTAGTTTACAAGTGACCACTTGTAATATTAAAGAAAAGTGTAAATTCTCAGAAACGTTAGTGATCTTATCTGAGGTTTTCCGTCATTTAGAGAATACTGAAGATTATTTTTTTTTTCCTTATTTGGCACTGTGATCTGCAATGTCTTCAACTGGAAGAAAAACAGTTTTCATGCCTTCTAGTTTTCTTTGAAAATTGGGGAAATGCATTGTATTTGGTGAGAGGCAATATGAAAATGGTAGAAAAGGGGAGCAGCCTGCATTTTTTAAGAACGGAGTCATTAAGGGGAACAATTCCCAAAACACCAAGAACTCAAAACTGTTCAATGACAGCGATGACTATTATAATTGATTGCTCTTCAGCATATCAAAAGGTGAACTTCTAGTTATTGAAAATCTGGTAACACATTGGACATTGAAGCGTTTTTGCCTTATTGGTAATAAAAATTGAAATCATTACCTCTTGAATAAAAGCATATGCAGAAGAGATGTTGTTAAATGTTCATTTAAAATACATTTAAGAATAGCATAGTTATAGCTGTTGTGTTCTTTAAAAACAATTCATTTCACAAAGGTTATCTTTGGTATATTTTCAGTATGTGATGAAATTAAGTTGAATGACTTCTTTTGGCCATATGTAGGAAAACTCATTAAGGCTTGTTGCTGTTTCCCAAACAGATGAAGACTTTTCATGTATAGCTGCACCTTCAAGCAAAAAATCCAGAACACAGCTCAAGGAACCAAAGAAGGAGAAAAAAGAGAAGCAAAAAAAGCCACACAAAGAATTGACTCCGTCACAAAAGCAGACACCTAGTAAAAGGCAAGAAATGTTGAAATGTGGTCAGCTCTGTGTAAGGCTGGATTTCAATAACAGTATTTGTTTTTTCTTTTTTTTCCCCTGGCATTTTTAGCAGCTGAGAACAAACAACTAACATATTAGTGTGATAAAGATTTTCAGCTTTATTGGCATGGTTGCAAATCAGGGATAATGTGATTATGTGTAGAGTCAGGAAAACCTGCCTGAGTTCGGTAGTGAGCTGTGTCTATTTTGTTACAGCTCTAAAAAACTCCAGCAAGTGTGGCCTGCATAGGCACAGAAACAGGTTTACATGCCTGATCTTGTCTTGACATCTCTACAGTACAAAATAACTGTAACAATTCTGAGTTAATGAGGACTCCTAAAGCTGAGAAATACAAAGACGAATTTGACTCCTTAAAAAAGAACATACTGAAAGCTTGATAGAAAATACCAAGTCGATGTCAATGAAAAAAGAAACGTGATTATTTTGGTGGTCAAGTTGTATATGAATATTACATTTCAGTGTGGTATTTCAAGCAAATGTAATCACCTTTTTCTGTGATAATACCAGTTATTAGTTCATGTATATATACACCCACACACAATGTTTTGCAGTCATAATACTCTTAAGTGGAGTGTACTTTAAATATTAATGTGTACTTTGTCTAAATCTTTTCAGGAAGTAATATTTACAATATGATCTGCTATAAGTATGTATTGAAATATTAATCTCTTTACAAGTATTTGAATTTTAAAAAGTTCAGTGAGTCAGAAGTAGATCTATAACACTCATGTCATTGTTTTATTATTTAGCGTATTTGGGTTTTTTTTTCCAGGATATCCTTGGATGACAAACTTTATCAAAGAGATTTGGAAGTCGCCTTAGCCTTATCTGTCAAAGAAAAACCTGCAAATATCCTTGAGGTGCAAAATTCAGAAGAACAAGGTTATTTTACAGTTCAATGCAACACTCTTTATTTACATGTAGTGAATTCGAACATGACTTAATTTATTTTACAGTGAAATAGGTTGAAAGTCATGTTTTATTTCAAGATGTCATGATAAGGAAATGAGAATTTCTAGGTAGTGCCTGTCTTCTTATGTTCTTGTGTTTTTTCTATGAGAAAAATTACTCTTCTATAAGATCTTCCAAACATATAGTTTGATTAGAGACAGATAAAAATGTTAGCTGTTTTCATTTCTTAATATCTTGACTTTTTATAATGTGATTTTTGTATACTAATATTTTATATATTATTGTTTGTTTGTTTGTTTTCTGGATCCCAAAACAGGTAAGAATATTGAATCAGAAAATGTACACAGGAGACCCCTTTTTTCCAACTGCAGTGTAGACAGTGAACTTTTAGGTAAGTTGTTCTCATACTCTATCTTTTCAGAAATAGGATTTCAAGATACATTTAAGTAGCTTCTCTCTTCTTTGCTTCCATTGGTTTCTGTTTTTCACTTACATGGAGAAAAGAGTCTTTATCTTAAATAAACATTGAAGGATGAAGGATGCATTAATTTTTTCATTAAAAGTTCGGTCCAGTCTTAAAATGGGAAAACCTGTGAACTGCTGAATGAGGTTGTTACAGATCACTAAAAGTTAGT